AGCTGGCAGCAGCAGTTCTGGCTTTCCTGTTCCAGGACTGGGTGAGGGACAGGGTCAAGGAATTCTTTGAGAATAACATTAAATCCTACCGAGATGATATTGACCTCCAGAACCTCATTGATTCGCTACAGAAAATTGTAAGTTCATATCCTGTCACTTCTTTCATGTGTTCTAGGAGAATATGTAGATTTGGAAATTTTCCTTTTTGTTACAGATTCATCATATTCTGTAGCTAATAGTGATGAGTTACAGATGTGCTGTTTTGCTCTTTCTGCATTGAAAGCATCAGGGAGGCAAGATATTCTAAGATACAGTGCTGTTCTAACTATGAATGTGGAAGTATCCATCTGCCTTTTGACCTTCTTGACTTGCTCCCCTGTTCTGATTAGTGTTGCACCAGTTTAAGTGAGAAGTGAGCAATGAAAAACTCTTTATCCTGAGAAAAAGTTGTGCAATGGAACTGGTAGTCTGCATTTTTATTTTAGGAGGCACTGCAGTCTTGTACAATGGTGCAGCACAGGGCCTTTTATCTTCTGAGATGCATCTCTTCTTGAAGCAAAAGAGATTTTTATTAACTGGGAAAGTCTAATCTCTAGTCAGGCAGTTGTCAAGGAAGATTGAAATAATTTTATGCTCCTGTGGTCCTGAAATCTTCAGTTACCAGAAGATAGTGATGTACACCAGGAGATGACAAGGCCTATGCTAGTAAGGACCTGGTGGCTTTCATTCAGTCAGCTGCCTTTATAATCGTGCCCAGGAAACAATCAATGAGGGTGACTCTTCTGATATTTTTTTTTTTTTCCATTTATTTGTGTGTGGTTAAAAATACATATATGGAGAGAAACAGAGTACATATGTGAGTACTTCATGAAGAGGTAAAATGGCTGTATCCTTTTGTATGTTTTTTTCCCCTTATGAAAGAAGGCTGGTTTTGTCTGTCTTCCATCTTCTAGAAGATCATGTTTAGAAATCTGTGCTCACAGCTCAGTTTGATAGCAAAGCATGTTTTAGAGTGGATACCACTTTGGTCAGCTTTATATTACCAGCAGCTTACCTATCCTGTTCATTCACTCTTGTGTGTGTTGATATGGAAGCATCCTCTAAGCTGCCTGGATGGATTTCAGTGCTGTTTTGCTTTAGCTTTCAGTGCTAAGGGCACCTTTTTGTAAGGTAGGGCTCCTCCTGACCATGACCAATACCAGTAATTGTCTCTGTGTTGTCCACTCTGTTGTTGCTCTTTCTGTTTATCTAGTTTCAGTGTGGTCAGCCAGGTTAATACGCTAAGCTGATTTACAGTTGAACTCCAGTTAAATACTTTTAGATGAAAATAAAGGGCTGAGCTTACTAAAAGGAGTTCACTAGCCAGATTAACAAGCTAATAAATCTGAAAAAGGAAAGACCAGAAAAATCTCTGAATCAGCCTGTCGTTGATCCATATGTGAAAGTACGAAGGAAGGAGGGGAAGTGTATGCAGTGTGGATTAGCAAATGTAGTTCTGCAAGGGTTGAAGAACAAGGTGCAGCGGTGTGTTCGAATGCCTCACTGAAGCTCATCTTCTAAGCAGCCATGCAGCTTAGGCTGACTTGCTCTGTTCTCGGTGTGTGCCTCAAGACCCAGAGAGCTTCTTGCAGGCAGCTCCTTGCTCTAGCTAATTATATTACTTTCAGGCCTGTAAGTGACCTCTCAATCTGTACCTTACTAAGGCAGATTAGCATGTTTAGTGGTTGTATGGCTTTTTACAAAGGCCTAGATGTCTGAGGGAGGAGGGACTAGAAAAACAAAAATTAACCTGTTTTGCTTTCTTCATGGTAAATGTATTAGTGAGTTAAAATTATTTTTTGTGTTTTTTCTGTTCTGACCATTCTGTTCAGCTCTTAGTCATACTTCCTGTGAAAACTATGTGTAAACAATTCTGTTCTCTGTTCACATCCGTGTCTGTCACAACTTGATAACTTCTGAATCTATTTACCAACTTCAAGTTTTGATGGTCTCACAGACAGTTAGGTTAATACAAGTTTTGTGAAGATGGGCAGTGGGCAGAGGAGAGATGCTAGAGATATCCCAAGAGGATGGAACTTCATGAAGTACCAGGAGAATCTACGTGATGGCATAACATTTCAAGTACTTAAAATGTAGAGAAAGATTTGTGCCCTTAAGTATCCAGGCTAGTAAACTGCAAAGCATAACTGAATATGAAACTAGGTTTCATTGATTCCAGGAACTGAACATTCCTTGAAATGCTGGGATTTCCCCAACCTGCAATTATGGTAATTACAATACACTGTTTAGGTCAAGAAATACTTTGAGAGTCGACTGACCTTTGAGCTAATGAGACTTTACCAGTTAATTCATTTGGATATGAAAACCATCTAATTTAAAATAAAGGAAGTATCTTCACAGAAGTTTTAATCCACTTTTTCCACAGTAAACAAAGAGAAGAAAATTTGTTGATCCTTGAAAATTTAAGGATGGAGTCACAAATTTAAAGGAACTTTTTCTCGTATTTTTTCTGTTTTTGGTTGGCTTGGAAATAATGGGTACAAAGATTTCTATAAACTATTTTGTCGCACTGTTTATGGACGGACACTGATTGCATCTAGCAATTGAATCTGAAGTGATAATTTTTGTGATTTTTGCTTGTCACACTGACACCTATTTCCAGGAGCAGTATGCCAAATGTCTTGCTTTGATTTCACAGAGCCGTGGTATGATTATTCATTTTTTACTCTGATGTTGCCATTGATTCTGCACAGCCATAGACAAAGTGAAGATGATAAATATCATTCCAAAGAGTTTATTCAGAGGATAAAGTGTCTCTAAAATACGCCTAAATGCAAAGTGTTTGTTTATCTGTTGCAGAACCATTGCTGTGGTGCCCAAGGTCCAGATGACTGGGACTTTAACGTATACTTTAACTGCAGCAGTGAAAGCAAAAGTCGTGAGAAGTGTGGTGTTCCTTTTTCCTGTTGTATACCTGATCCTGCTGTAAGTGATTTCCTGGTTTTGTATTGCTCTGATGTTGTTGAAGAGCTATGAAAGGAAGGACTTCCTGAATAAAGTGTGATGTCTGGGGCTTTAAAAGGTCTTCTAAATGATCAAAAATTACTCTTGCGTGGGCAAACGCTTTTCATGTTTCTGTTCCATCCTTTTTAGAGTCCAAATGTGGCAACCTGTTATACAGCTGAAAATGTATAGTCACCAGGAATTCAAGCTATTTTTATGTCTTGAGTCTCCAAGTGTTGGTGGCTGGTATTTTTATTATTCCCAGTGTGTTGTTTCCTTGAATTCCTGGCCTCTGTTATCTAGTTCGTAAGGACCCGAGAGCACTGTTAGAATTCCCAGTTAGAATTACTGTTAGACCACTCCTCTGCCAGACAAGTAGGAGTAACTCCATTTGCTGATTGTTTGTCAGCAGCTAGTAAAGTGCTCATGCACAAACTCAGTTTAAAGCATTCGAGTCAATTCTCTGGTTTTGGTAAGATTCAGGTGCTTATTGGTTAGATCTGTTTACTAAATTTCAGGAATCTGACCTTTTCAGTGGAAGCCAAAATGTGGTGGTAGGAACTAACATGTAATGCTTTATAGTATTAGTGGGAATAGTTACAGCTCAGTCAGTCTAACAGTCCCTGTGTGGAGCAGATAGCCATTGGTAGGTTATACTAAGGCTTTTGATTGTCTTGGAAATCAGCCAAGGAAAGACTCTGTCAGGGAAATATTCCATGTTCAGATTCCCCAGTAATTTTCTGCTTTAATTTGGAGCAGTACTATTCCACTGCAACTTTTTCGGTTGCTGGTGCTGTATTTAAGGACAAAATAAGTATGTTTAAATTCTTCTTAATGAGATTGTACTCCTAATATTCCAGTATAACTCACTATGCACTGTGTAAATTATGCTATAACTGTGTAATACATACATTTTCATAAGTCTCATACAGACAAAAAGTGTCTTGAAAGGGATGTCTTGTATCTTTGGAGATAAACACTGTCATTGGTTGTGTGGGTTTGTGATCTGGAAGGTGTTTATGGCCTTACTGCTTGGAATCCGCAACTGGAGTGTTTTATCTTCAAGACTGGGTATATCTTGGAGCTGGGTTATGTGTGAGACTTTGAACTAGTGCCTGAGGGGGCTCAGGTAGCTTGCAGCTGTTACTTGTTTTAACTGATTTGGATAGCAAGTTGTATACCACTTGAAATGATGGGAGTTATAAGGTATATTTCTCCATTGCAGATGTAAATAAATCAGCCTGGTACCTTTATTGCTACCTCAGTGTTTAGGTGTACTATGAAACAGCTAACATGAAATTGATCTTGGAAAGCAGATGTCTTATTTGTATGCTGGCAGTACAGTTGCTGTGCTTCATGTTAAAAAGTCCTTGCTAGTTGAAAACCAAGTGATAGAAGAAGCTGGGATTTCTGATGAGGGGTGTTCTGCTAGTATACACCTCTGCTTTGTCATTGCTTACCTTGTGTTCTGCTAGTACTTTGCTCATCTTTACTAAAAAATACTTCTTAAAATGGTAGGCTCTAGCAGTCCTGATTTGTTTGTGAATCTGAAAGACAGAAAAACTTTCTGTCAACAAAAGTGAGTAGAATTCGATTGATGTATTTTAACTCTTTTTTTGCTTTGCAGCAAAAAGTTGTAAATACACAGTGTGGCTATGATGTCAGAAAGAAGGTAAGGTACTGGAATCTTGCTGTCTGTCATGTTCTGTGCCTGTATAGGCAAAACTATAAAAATGGTGGAATTGCCAATAGATACATCAGCTTAAAATTCTGGGAACTAATTGACTGTGCTACATCATACTGCAAGTAGAGTGTGGTAGAGATTTTACTTTGTTACAAGTGAACTTGTACTGTGAGAAGGTGGAGAAAACAAATGATGGAACAGGTAAAAGAAGTGTGTTTCAAAAAGGGGTATGACTTGCATTTCAAATTGTAAAATCATTTGGATTGGAAATGACCTTTAAGATCATCCAGTCTAACCAAAAAACCTAATGCTGCCAAGTCCATCACTAAACTGTATACTTAAGGACCATATATGCCTCCAGGGATGGTGACTTAACCACTTCCCTGGGCAGCCTTTTCAAATGCTTGATAACCCTTTTGGTGAAGAAATTTTTTCCTAATATCCAATGTGCTTTTCAATTATTAGTTATAATAGTCTAACTCTGAATTCTGTTATCTGCTAATTCTAAAGTATCCTAATAACAGGATTTGGAGGAAGATAATGACATCAATGTCCAGCATTCCATGATTTAATCTGGGCATATATGTATTTCTGGAGTCTGGTTAAAAACATTATTGCATAAGTAACAAATCATTATTTTAGCTATATAATGTGATTGACTGATCATAAACTCGAGTAGAAAACTAATATTGTTGTTCTTCCTTTCCACAGAGCAAGAGTCAATGGGATGATCAGATTTTTGTCAAAGGATGTATTCTTGCTCTTGAAGCTTGGTTACCCCGAAATATCTACATCGTTGCAGGTGTCTTCATTGCTATCTCACTGCTCCAGGTTAGTTGTTTTTGTTATGCTACTTTGAA